TGACTCTAATTCTTGGCCAAATTATTCGAGTATAACCTGGTTTGGGTCAGTTTACGCTGTTTTATAATCCGCTTCGCGGATTATAAAGCGTAAACTGACCCAAACCAGGTTATACTCGAATAATTTGGCCAAGAATTAGAGTCATTCCTAAAATATAAGTAGGTGATGTGACTGATATCGCTTGTTCACGAACCAGTACAATTTTAGAAATCCACGAAAATTGACCACACCCTCATGAATATAAAAGTTTATATAATTCCACAGTATAGGAATAAAATGTTATCTTTTTACTAAAATTAATCTTTATATTTGACATAGTTTCATGCATACAAACCAGCCGTTTATTATAAACCATTTCAGATATCAGCTTTTATGAGGTCAAAGCAATGAAATTTTTGGTCGATAGAACAAACCACAGACATCTATGTTATTATGTTTATATATTATAACTATATAATTTAGTAGATTGTTATTATAAGGTGCAGTATATGCTTAAACTTTGTTTGAAATAAAAGCGCAGTATAATTTATTTCTTTACTATCTTCTTTATCCATAATAAGTATAATAAATTCACGAAAATATATTTTATCCTGGCTTCTTTAAGTGAAAACATTTCATTTTTATTTTTTATCCTTGAACTAAATTCATATTACCTAAAAATATTATGTACAATACATTTAATAAAACTGTACTCTTATTTATAAATTCGTTATAGTAATTTCCGTCTATTAGGATTAATTATCAATACCAAATTGGCAAAATTCAACAAAGTCTATATCTGATAGCTTTTTGATTGAAATTGCTTTGAAAATATATATATATCTTCAATTTCTTTTAAAAAACGAGAGGTCCATTTAAAGTTCAATCTAGCCCCTTTATTTGCTCCATTGGACAAGGCTAACAAGATGGAGAAAGTTCATGACCGTCCAGTGATATTGCTTGAATGAACAACTTTAATTTTGCCGGAGGTACTGTGTAGGTTTCTACCAAACATCTAAATACTTTTGTACATTGATTTAGAATAGATATACACATATTTATGTATTTACAATTATTATTGACTGAGCCTGTACCTCCAAGTATCTTTCACACTATAAGAACAAAGAGGTCATTGTTTATTCTTTAAGTACCTTGTTTTTTTGTTTGTTTGTTTGTTTGTTTTTTTTTTAAAGTGTTTTATAAAATCTGTTTTGGGTAACACATTTGTTTTCTTTTTGTTATTGTTATTTTTTTTTGTAATAGATTATATTTCCATATCTTGTTCTGGAGCACAGATGTTACTTCAATTTTTGCGGACAAAATTTGTTTACAAATAACAAGAAAAAAACTTGTCAAATTGATGCATTTTTGTTTCAAATTTACTTTTAAAAGCAAAACCAAAAAACAAACAAACAAAAACAAACAAACAAACCAAAAAAAAAAAAAAAACAACAAAAAAAAAAAAAACAGAAAAAAATTTAAAGGTCATACCCCTCCGTCCCCTTTTGACCATTGCTGTTAATAAAACTAAGATTTTTTTTCGTTTCCTATTCCTATGAAAAAAAGTTAATCAATTAATATTAGTTATAACTAAGGACGCTTTCTTAAACATTAATTTCCATTTCCAACTTCTGGAGCTCACTTTTTTTTTTGCTTTGATAAGAGAGAAAACACACCTGAACCAGCAGAAATAGTTCAAACGATGAAGCAAGATCATCGGGATAATAAAACTATTTATTTAAGATTAATTCCACACCAGGTGATTTGACACTCTATATGAAAGACCTACGGTGCATGATTTCTGTCAAAGTTGACTGTGCTTTACATTTCTCACCTTTCCCATAGTTTACCTCCAAGTACTCTATGTGCTGCCGTATTTGCTCCCCAGTACATACTTTTGCACGTGATCGGAAAGATCTTTTATATTTATTGGTTGTTATGTGGAAACTTTCCAAAATTTCAATTATCATGTAAATTCACGAATCATTCATTCAGAATCATAGAGAATCAATTTTCAGTAATTAAATGCTTTGCAAATTAGCGTTGAAAAAAAACTTATTCGGAACAGGACCTTTTTAAAAAAAAAAAAAAAAAAAAAAATTAAACCATGGTACAAGTATCTATTGTTTGAAAGCTCTCTCACATTGAAAGGTAACGATTTGCAAAAACATGAGCAGTAATTCTCTTAGAGAAATTATTAGATAGAAAAAAAAAATTGATTTATTTAATCAATAAATCTGCAGGCTTTAATTACGATTAAAATCAAATAGGTAAAGCTGTAAAAAATAATCAAATTAAAGATAAACAAATTAAAAATGACTTGAGGCTCTACAAGTCTTTGGTAGATTACATGTATAAATATTATTTTTTAATTGGAAATATCAATATGCCAGCTTTAAATCTTTTGTTAAATAAGTCAAACTATTTATGTTTGATAAACTAGAGCATTTGTAATAAATTTTGGTGATAACCAAATTAGAAATTTTTGTTGTTCGCAGACTTCACAAATGAAGACAAAGAAGAACCACAATCCATTCCAGCCACTAAAAGAAACACTATCTGAGATTTCTGTGTAAACTGTGTGTCCACTGCTTTTACTTGATTTCTTCATATCATTCAAACAAATGCACAATTTCAAGAGTTTTCCTTAGATAGTCATGCCGATTTTTGTTGCTATTACAATTTTTTCCGTTAATTTCTATTTCTTGAAAAAAAAAAAATATATATATATAAAAGTGTAGTTATAAGGAAATCATTATGTAATTATTCTATTTTCTGCTTACATTCATGTACATGTACTGTATAAAAACACAATCTTGGCTTTTTTTCTCTTTTGTTATTAAATCCGTATGTCTACTTTTCCTAAATTCAATGGAGTTGATAATTATTTCTCTATCGTTATACATTTAGCACCTCCAATGCACTTTTAATTTGGCTCGTTAAATATCTGAGTTAAAGAGTAAATAACTTTTAAGTATTTACACATAAGATTAGATATTAATTATACATCAAAGCATTCCATTCACTTGTAGAACTGAATTATGATAAAAAGTATATTTTGTTAGGTTATGTTTCCTAAAATATTTGATAGAATACCACTATATTACATCTGCATAAAGTTTTTAGTGAAAAAGGTGAATATAACGAACAGTGATCGATCTCAAAAAATCAACAAACATTACAAATCTGTGAAGAAGGCATAAAATACGGACCTCCTGAAATTCCAGAGGTGGGATCAGGTCGCTTAGAGGAGTAAGCATCTCCTGTTGATTAAATATAAAGATAATGAACAGCGATAAAGCTCAAAAGTCCACTGGAAAAAACAAAACAAATTGAGAGCAGAGCAAACACAAACCTCTAAAAACAGTAGAGGTAAGATCAGGTGCCATGGAGGAGTAAGAGGAGTAAGCATCCCGCCTGGGGGTGGTCATGATTGGTTAAAAATCCGTAGGCAATTCAATATGAAAATAATGGCCTAACAAATTGTATGAAGAGCGTCAACATTCTGCTTAAGGATAGATTGTTTTTGCTAACAGGTCATGGCATAGACCATAGGATTTGTGAAATGTTAACTTTGCACGAAACTATTGTTATCCTTACAACACCTACTTATTTGTCAATAGCTTGCCTTGTTTTAGAAAGTGCTTGTACATATAACATGCTCTAACATGCCATCTGCAGATGATAATGGTATATACAGGGACGTCGACGATAGAAAAGCTGATGTAATTATTAAGTTTTGCTGTAAGTTTACCGTAAATGTCTTTTTCTAATAAAATATCCAAATATGAAACAGAAATGTCAGACTCTGAGGTGTCTTTTATTTCTAGTTCAAATGGATATACATGTGTATGTTAGAGATGTCTCTAAAATGGTCTCCATTAAATTGAATGATAAAACCATTACAATCCAAAATACAAAAGAGTGCCATAAACTTATCCGGTTCCACTTGTAGATTATGAATAAAGAACAAGGTTTTGGGGTTTTACAAAAAAAAAAAAATCATGAAATTGAAATCTCTAAAATTCAATGTATGTCACAGTATTGTCATAAATTTTATAGGGATTTTAAACGAAAAATCTATTTCGGACACAAGACAATTTTTAAGAAAAAGTTTGTTAACTTTTGTTTGTCTAAAACATATGCTGCAGTTTTTAGACAATATACTGGGAAGCTGTTTTTCTCTAACATCCACATTTATCCCCCCTTCTCTTTTTCTTCATTTCCTTTTTATCTTCTCAATTTAGGAGAACAAATTATAATTAAGTACTCCTCTCCTTCTACTGAATACTCAATAAATTATAGAAAGCAAGACTATTAATTAAATACAGTCCAATTCAGATGTTCTTAATCTTTTGGAAAGTAATTACTGGTCCATGTGTTTTTGGTTCCTGAAGCATGACATGATTAGGAACATATTTACTTTTCGCCATAACTCATATATAATTATCTGACAACAGAACTGAAATATCTAGCCAGCAATTACGAAGACTATTATTATTATCATTTCATCAACTTGCTTCATCTTTTCTATGTAAAGGTTAAACTATATTTGACGTAAATGTCTACTTTAAAAAAAAAGATAATATTTCGAGAAGGAAATACATAAATGTAATTACGAAAACCAAAGTAAAAGATAATGCTAAACATGAATAGAAAAACGGTACATGAACTTTGTGTATAATAATAGAAAGAATCCTTAACTTTTCTCAAGCAAAGAATGGTGTTAATTGATAGTTTTCAAAAGCAATTACACGTATTAAACCGTGCTAGACCATACAAAATCTTTCAGATCCCAAGGTATTCCGCGACTTTTCTTTATCCTTTCATGCATAAATTTAAGGCATGACAGAAAACTAAATAAAATTTCAAATACTGAATAAATTTAATCTGTTTTTAGTTATAAATAAAGTAATCAAACTAAATGGTTGATCTATGATGATTAATCTCAGTAGATTAGACAGTCAAACGGCCCACGCTCTATGTCTTCGCTTAAATAGGACAAGGACAACTGTCTGTGTAAATAAAACAAAAAAGGCAATAATTCGGACAAAAATCTTACAGGAACCAGAAAAATGAAGTTTTTGATCCTCTTTATTGTGACTCTTTGTGTGGATTTCTGTTCCCCCAGAATATGCTGCTCCGCAGGTAAGATAATTTATTTATAGTAACACAAAAAATCGACATTAATCAATATTACAATTATTCTGAGGAAAATTGATTTTTCACACTTTAAAATAGACAATAAAATGACATTTATATAAAATGCTATAGGAAAACTGCAATTTAAAATCAAGATAACATTAAAAAAATGAACAACAGAAATTAGCATTTATATGGTGCTGTTTTGCTATTTGCATGTACATGCCCCAAACGCTTCTAAGTTCATTTTCCATAAGAGAAGTATTCAATATTTAAAGTGGAACTTTCAATCAAAAATGAATGTTTCGACAACACTGTTTTGGAAAAGTAAAATATTTTATTCTGTTCCTTGTAGCAGGACAATGTCGGATATGCAGATTTCCTACGTGAGTTCATTAAAAAAAAAATCAAAGAATGTTTTACCCTTTGTAAAAACCATGTCTCAAAAAAGTATTCATATACCTTATCAATATACTCTCTAATATAACCAAGAAAAATAAATTCTGACGTTTCAAATTAAGGATTGGTATATCAAAAGTATTATAGGTAATATAAAAATGTGAACATTACTTTCATTGTTATTTTACGTTAATTCTTAAATTGTGATTTTATCTTTTTTCAGGGTAAATTTTAAACGTTCATTTCCTGTGTTATGGAATAGGAGACATAATTCTAAAGGTATGTTTCATTGAGAATTGAAAGATTATTTTTTTTAAATGCGTTTAATTTTAAAAGTTACGTTCTTAATTACTAATAATTGACTGTTATTTGAAAATAAAATGTAAAGCTTACGAACAGTGAACATTGTCAAAAGTCCATATAAACAATACATAAACAATACAGTTAATGAGCAGAGTCAACAACTGGAAATAATAATAAGGCATTTAGAATTCACCAGAGAGAGAGAGAGAGAGAGAGAGAGAGAGAGAGAGAGAGAACAAAAAGCTAAAGCACGTAAACACGTAATACTTGTATCCAAAAGTAATACACCTAAATGACAGACTTGATTTTCTCACGTTAGATTGATATTATATTATATTATATTATATTATATTATATTATATTATATTATATTATATTATATTATATTATATTATATTATATTATATTATATTATATTATATTATATGTCATAAAATTATCATAGGGCTTTAATTAAGCGATCGTTTCTTCTTTCCTCAGTATAATTTTTTTTTCATTTGTCCCTAAGAAGGGGCAGGTCTTCAAAAAAATAAAATGAGAATATTATTGATGGTGGTCATGATTTTTACAGCATATATATATATATATATATATATATATATATATATATATATATATATATATATATATATATATATTAGATTTTTGTTCAATAATTAAGTTATTTCAAAGAAATCCACATTTAAGGTAATAATCGTTATTTAAAGGCTCTGAAGGTTTACAAAATTGAGCGTATTAGAGCACAGAATCACAGATTTCAAACTCTATAGTTTGTTGTTAATGTAAAAATGTAAAAATGAAAATTGATATTAATGCATTCTTTCATACGTATTATTTGTTTTCTTACCAGTTTCAAGAAGCTGCGGGACAGTTCAAGAATGTATACGTAAGGATATTATAGCAAGGTAATTTGTTTCTTGTTATCATCATGTACTGCTTGATTTTTGATAATTTGTTTAAAAATACTTATGAATTAAATTTTCAAATATGAGCTCCTAGTAATTCCTTCAATTTGCTGCGAACACCTTTGGTTATTCACCTGAGTGCTTTACTTAATAGAAATTTGATAAAACATCAGATGCTTCGCTTACACCTCCAAAAGTTAGGACTCCAAAGGGAAGAGAATCTACAAACCAGAAGAACGTTAGTGAAACCAAAACCAGTGTAAGTAATCCTATCAGATTTGCCATAAATAAATGTGAAATCAATAATCTGGGGGGTGGGGGGGGTGGGGTTGGGGGGATAATTTACGTTGTTTTCGTCGTAAGAAGTGAACTACGAATATATATCTTCCACATAAAAAAATTAAGAAGACAATGTACAGTATCAGTACATTTCTTATACCACGAAATCAAATCCCCGCCAAACGACATTTTTTTTCCTGAAACCACATTTTGACCCTATGAAAATATGGAATTTTACAGTAGAATTTTTTTAGGGATATGGAATCAATTTTTTTCTTTAATAGTAATTCTGAAAGGGGTTGAATAAAAAAAAATCAGTCCGATAACTATACTAAAACCATAGAATGTAAAAGGTGAAGATAACGAACAGTGATCAATCTCATAGATCTAGGAGACAGAACAAATCATAAACAGGGCAAACACACGGACTCCTGGACACAACAGAGTTGGGATCCGGTGCCTAGGAGGGTTAAGCATCCCCTGTCGACCGGGCACACCCGCCGTGAGACCTATGTATTCATAAGGTAGACCTAGTACACTGTAGTCAAATAAAAACAATAACCTAATACATGCCTTGAATCATTTCGGTCAAAATACGACCCAAGGATAGTCTGTATCTAAAAGAACGTCATAATAATGACCGTAGAATTTTCGAAAAAATGACTCTAAACATGAATTGTTGAATCCTTGAAACATCAAATTATTTGTCAGAAGCTTGCCTCGGTTTAAACACTGATCATATTTATACTCCTGGGGGTCATGATTTAATCAAATCTGAATGTACACTACCTGCAGACGCTTCCCTCTAAATATGGCTTTGCTATTCCTGGAGAAAAGATTTTTAAACATTTTTCTATGTTAAACGTTGATCCCCCGTTTCTGTCCCACCCTATACCCAGGGATTATGATTTTAACAAATTTCAATCTACTCTACCTGAGGATGATTCCATATAAATATGACTGATCAGGGCTTTGCTGTTCTTGAGAAGAAGATATTTCCAATATATTTTTTGTAAAACTTTGGTCTCCTATTGTGCCCCCATGCAACCCCTGGGGGTCATGAGTTGAACAATCTTGAAACTACACTATCCGAGGATACTTCTATATCAATATGACTAATAATGGCTTTGCTGTTCTTGAGAAGAAGATTTTTTAAAGATATTTCCTATATATTCCTATGTAAAACTTTGACACCCTGTTGTGGCCCCGCCCTACGCTCTGGGGTCATTTGTACAAACTTGGATCTACACTACCTGAGGATGCTTCTTTATAAATATGACTAATAACGGCTTTGCTGTTCTTGAGAAGAATATTTTAAAATATTTTCCCTATATATTCCTTTGTAGAACTTTGACCTTCTGTTGTGGCCCTGCCCCACCCCCGGGGCTCATGATTTGTACAAATTTGAATCTACACTACCCGAGGATGCTTCTTCATTAAATGACTAATAATTGCTTGGCTGTTCTTAAAAAGAAGATTTTTAAAAGACATTTCCTATATATTCCTATTTAAATATCTGATCCCATTTTGTGGCCCCTCCCTACCCCGATGGGTCATGATATGTACAAAATTGAATCTACAGTTTGTAAAGAAGCTCTCGCATAAGTTTTATTTTTTCTGGCCCAGTGGTTCTTGAGAAGAAGGATTTTAAATGATGCCTCAAAATTTTCACGAATGAATAATTATTTCCCCTTGTAAGAGGGTGTGGCACTTTCTGTGAACAAACTTGAATCCCCTTTACCCAAGAATGCTTTGTGGCAAGTTTGGTTGAAATTGGCCAAGTGGTTCTGGAGAAGAAGATGAAATTTTGAAAATTTTACGACGACAACGGCAACGACAGACAACGGACAAATTTTGATCAAAAAAGCTCTCTTGAGCCTTCGGCTCAAGTGAGCTATTAAAAACAGGTCGGCTTATAAAGGAGCACAATTAGTGCTCATTGCAATATTGTAACATATTGTTTGAAGACCTGATCTCCAAAGACTAGATAGATATTATCAATAAGAATTCCAACATCTTTCTAATATCAAATTAAGAGTGTTTTTATATATAGAATCAGAATGTTTTAACAAAGTAATTTTGTAGATGACCTAATAGACATGAGATATGGTTTATTCATGTTATTAGATTTTATAAAGCTTTATATATCATAACATTTCTACTTTTTTTTACGTTGCTACAAAAATGCAAAGATGTCTCTTAATTTTTAAATCATTAAAATCCATAAGATTTTTAATATTGCATTTGATCCAATCTGTAATACGTTTTTTTATTACATATTCCATACACAGTAAACACGCTTATAGAGAACATGCTTATAATGAATTGGAGCTTACAGTGAAGTGATTTTTATTCCCGGTGGCTTTAAAATATATTGTGAACTTAAGGGAAATAACGAATTACGTTATAACGAAGCAAATTAAACTGCCCCTAGCACTTTATAAGCGTGGTTATAGCGTGTTTTACTGTATATTGAAACATAATAAGTATTTACAAACAAAACATCAGATATATTGACTAAGAAAACCCTAGAACATTATACACAGCATATCAGCATACGTGTTCCAAAAACTTATATTGAAAAGTAAAATTTTCGTAAACTTACAAGTGGCTCTATCATGCCTTATCGAGTTTTTGTCTTGTGTGAAACTAAAGATAACCATGAAATTGCTTTCCCTATATATATAGAACTATTTGAATTATTGAAAAATAACTGGTCATGATCAAAAATTGCCACCAGACTGCTATAATTATGAAGACCTGACTCCACTCTTGAATGTTGAAAATTTCTGTCCAGAATAGTATATGTATATTTTTTTGTCATAGATTCCAAAAAGTCGACAATCATATTATGGAAATTAATGATACTTCACTTCTTTGAAGAAAAAAGTATAACAAATGGAAATTTTTTTTTTAAAAAAGTAAAATAGGAAGGTTCATATATTATTATGTAAAAACTGAAATTTACATTGGGAATTTCAAAAGACAATGAATTGATAAATATATTATTGTAAAAAAACAAATTCGTCACTTGTGAACATCATAAATATAAGTCATATTTTCTTATTTTGAGCACTGTTCTTTTTCAGAAAAGACTTAGTAATGTAACAATTGATCGTGTCCAAGGGATATTAATATGCCAATCGTTGTGGCTGTAATACCTTACTGTTAATGCATATAATTCTACAATTTACATTTTACAGTTTTTGTGGCCCTATTCACCGTGTTGTTTACAGAATTTACGAGATTGATCATTGTTTACAGAATTTACGAGATTGATCAATGTTTCCTATTTTCGCTTTTTCATTCATGTCCTTTATTTACAGCACACAGGAGCCGTTTGTTATAACTAAACTAGCAGGAGCAACCCCTCATCAAATGCCACAAGGAAAATGAACTGATACCTAGTGTGCCTGTTTTGTGATGATATAATAAATACGTAGTGGTATAGGATGGGACAACCGATATGTTTTATTTACCTATATACTCTGATAGCCCTATATTATGTATCAAAGAGGGTGAAGAAAATAATTTAAAAAGAAATCTATCAATTTTCACCTAATTTACATGTCCCTTTCTTCGGAACTTGTGAAATTTTATCATCAAATAATGTAGTAAATTCTTATTCATTTGTTTTTAATTTTGCAATCCCATAAACATGTTAACCAAAGACAAGATAAAAGATACATTGTATTTTGATTGAATTGAAGAATTTAATAGAAATGTTCTAGTTATTTGAACAGTTGAGTTTACGAATGAGATCTTTATCGAATGAAATTAATTTCCTATTCGTTTTTAATAAGTTCCCCTGCTATGGTATAACATACAGAGCAGCATAACAAAGTGCAAAAAGCGATCAGGATAAAAAGTATTATAAATTTCATTATGTACGATTTCTTATAGATTATTGTCATTAAAAACATTATTCCCATTATTATTCATGAAAAAAAAAACAACTACCTAATGTATCCCATGTGAGAGAGAGTGTAATGCGCGAACTCTTTGACTAGGTGATTGATAATCTGTATAATTAACATAAATGAACATAAACAATTCATGACTTGTCCTACTTATCATGTGTGCAATGTATATCTACCTGAAAAGTAAAATTAAAAGCAAAAAAAAAAAAAAAAAAAAAAAGAATTCCAACATTTGAAATTTTATTTTATCATCCTATTATGTTTATTATTATGTTATTTCTTACATTTTTTCCATATTTAGAGATTAATTACTTTAAAAGTATTAGAAGCATCAAGCTATTTTTCATCCAAGAATTATTTTAATGCATGATCAAACATTAATGAGTAAGTGATACTAGTTAATCAACTGTTAATCACATCGATTATTTGATTGGTAAGGTGCTAGCTTTCTGTACAGAAAGTGATGAGCTATCAGGAATTAAGACTTTAAAAATAAGAAGTTAACATTCCTTCCTTTATTATTTGGTGTTTGCAAGTTTAAGTCATGAGTCTTTCTTAACACAAACGTTATAGTACCTAGATATTGAACATTCAAAACAAAATCCTCTTTAAGTATTCTTGCTCTTCTTCTTTCAACTACAGTCCCGCCGGACATGAAATTACCGATGTTGAAAAATGACGACCTAAAACAATAATCTTAAAGCAATATGAGCTGCAACTTTGATGTCGGAAATTTTTGTTGCGATATTGCCAATAACTTTTTCAATGACATAAAAAGAACGTTTTTAAACTTCTGTCGTTCATATTTGCGAAAAAAGAACTATTTATAAACTTTGATTGAAGGGAAATTACATTATTGTCGTCCTGTACCAAAAATATAATACTATATACTTAAAAAAAAATTACTACTTTATTTTAGTCTAATTGATCATAAAGGATTAAATTACATACAGATTTACCATAACAGCACATTTTAACAGCAAAATAAAATTCTCAAAAAATGCAGTTTATATTGCTTAAAAAGGTCCTAAATACCGGATCGAGCCCGATCTTTGAATTGGCAACAGAACTTCATTTCTATTATGAATTCTGTCGAAGATTATGTCAGATTGGGCTAAATATGAATGAGAAGACCTGAACACTTTGTTAGAATGGATTACTGTGGAATCATCATTGTTCGTGGGGGACCAATGTTTGTGGATTTCGTGGGTCACACTTACCCACGAATTTACATCCCCACGAACGTTTATTTTCTAAACATATTGAATCTACCGTAAAAACTAGTAACCACGAAATAACGTCCCCACGAACAAGTAAAATTCTGCTTGCCCACGAACATTGACCCCCACGAATTAAAATGATTCCACAGTAGTTGTTTTAGAAATATATTAAAGAATCATGTTAGAAAGATAAAAGATAACATGCAAACCATATATAATTCCGTTTTCGCTAAATCGGAGTTGGAAAAAGAATTAGAAAGAACAATATGTTATGGTTCCAGCAGACATGGCCTGTATCAATATTGTGTCTGTTTGAAAAGTCCATTTATGTAACTGTCTGAAAATCTAGCTTATACTGACAGTTCACTTTCTAAGGACGAAATTCTTCAAAATCACATTTCAGTCTTTAATATTTTTAACATCCCAGTCAACCAAGGTGAGTTCGATCTACCATACGTATACTTCATTCCTAAACGTCATAAAAATCCTTTCAAACAAAGATATATTGCATGGTCCAGCAATGGCTCTACCAACCCCCTATCTTTATTCCTCACAAACATTTTAACTAAGAAAGGTTTCTTAGGTTTCTAGGAGAAATTTCAGACGTACTGTGCTACAGAATATTCTAGAAGTGGTGTAAATCAGATATGGATTTTCAAAGAAATTTAAAATCCCCAAACTATTCAAAGTATATAAAATTAGAACGTACGACTTTTCTACACTTTATATAATCATTTTTGATGATAAATTTTAAAAAAAAACTAGGCTTTTCAATTTGATGTCATAGACAACAGCTTCTTCAATAAAAATTTAAACTAGGAAAGTTTCATATCTCCTGATTGGTCATCATGTTTAAAATCACCCTAATTCTTCATATATGTATCCTGAAGTTTATATTGAAAGGACGCTGGAGTTCCTCATTGACAGCATTTATATAGTCTTTTGAGACCAGGTCTTCCAACAAACTGTTGGAATTCTGATTGAGACTAACTGTGCTCCTTTATTAGCCAACCAGTTTTTATATTCCTATGAAGCAGAATTTATTCAAAAACTTCTAGATGAGAAAAACATAGGTAGTGAACTGTTCCTTCGCCAAGCACCCGGCACTCGAAGGGTAAGTTAAGGGTCTTTCTGATAATACCTTAAAAACCGAAGACACGACAGGCGCTGGAACGATAAAGATCCCTCACTACTCAATGACCCTGAGCCGTAGGTTTCAATTTAAAGCCCTTCACTGTTATATGGTTACGTCTCAATATGAGTGAAAATTCACGAATGTGATGGGACGTAAAACAACATACAATCAATCAATCTTCATGAGAAAAAGAAAACACTTCCTGTGGCCTTTAACTCGACATTCAGATATACTGAGAACGTTTTGTCAATTCATAATAGTTAATTCCATTCATGTGTCGACTAGATGTATTCCATATGAACTCGAAATAAAAGGTACTACAGAGTCTGTCTTATCTGTTTCATACAAGGATATTTTACCGACAATGACTATATGGGCAAACTAACAATTAAATTGCATGATAAAAGAGATGATTTCAGGTTTTCCATCGTCAACTCTCTTTATTCATGTAATAATGTTCCGCTATTACCTGCATGTGGGGTTTACAACTCCCATTTTATTTGATATTCAAGAGCATTTCTGAGTACAATTATTTAAACTGAGGCAGGCTACTGACAGATTAGTTGATGTTACACGGAATTCAACAACCTCGTTTAAAGTCAATATTTTGTACATTCTTGTTCGTTATAATGATCTTGTTAGCAAATATAACCTATCACTGGGTTTTAATTTGGCTCAGGTTTTTAATCTTAATTGTTAGGCCTTTGCTTTTATACTAAATTTTTCTATGGAATATTCCATCTACCTGATCAATACTTGGGGCTCACGGCAGGTGTGACCGGTCGAAATGGATTGCTTACTCTTCCATGGCAGCTGGTCCTTCTTCTGGAATTCCGGGCTAGGGGAGGGCCGGGTTTAACAGATTTGGATTGTTTGTAGATTTTTTAGGATCGATCACTGTTCGTTATCTTCATTTTTTCATAATGAGTCCCTGAGAACCAAATTGAAAGCATTACTGAGTGCACTGGATTGAGATATAGCAGAGGTCAAACGTTGGCAATTCATATACGGTTTGTTATTATTCTATATCCAAAAATTTTAAATGGAATACAGATCTTCATGTAAATAAAATATATTTCGTGTATTATTTTATCCAAAGATTAAACTGTGAAATCACTATTTTTTAAGGGGGTGTCTTTGCTTTCGTTGTAGGAATGCGACCCACAAATCTATGCTCCCATGAAATGCTTAAATTTTAAATAGTAGTTTCATGTTTCTTCTTCAGCCAAGAATTCAAATTCCCTTGAAACAACTTTTTCTTCAGTCCACAAAAACAGACCCCTAAAAATAAGTGATTTTACAGCGCTACCTCTTACATATTTACTCCCGAGGAAAGACTATGAAGGTAGTCTTCGTTTCTTCAGAATTAGATGGCGTGCTCAGATATCATCTCGCTCAGTCTTCAGACAAGAATTAAATCTACTGTCATATAAAACTTGAAAATTCTTTCAAGCATACAGACAGATGAATTTTAAACGTTTTCTTTAAGTCAAGAGGCTACAAAGGGACAAAAAGTTTGCAATGAAAATCTTTATTTTTAACAAATGTATGGAGAGCAAAATATATTAATTCTTTACTTTTATTTTTCCCCCAGTAACTTCTTTTTGCAATTGAATCCGTTCAATTCAATATGCAAGATTACTTTGTCAACAAAACGCACATTCTTAATACTCAGTCTTTTTCAAAGTTAAAGTGTAAGAAATGTCGCAGAATGTACAAAAACAGTCAACATTCTCATATGCCATAGATAATTTTCTCTCAGTAAACAAGGTCAAAATTAGTTTTACTCGAGATACAAATGGATGGATTAACTTTTCCGAAAAGGAAAAGGTGTACTTCTGTTTCATAATTGAACATCAAGCCTCCGCTTGAGAGAGGTTACTTACTTTTATGCTTCATGTTACTGCGAAGTGTTTTCTACATCTCAAAGGAAATGCAATTAAAAAGGCTTTATGGTATATAACAAGGCCTGTAAAATATACAGTCTATTGCAAAAAGTAGTCTGTTGCGTAATGTGCAAGCAAAAGGTTGCATTTGCCATTAATTAGTCAGCGAAATAGTGTGCCATGGTCGATTTCTTTTATTAAGCAGAGTAAGCATCACTCCCACACCTGACAAAATAAAATTGTGCAAAGCCTTTTTCAAAGATTCAATAAATATCTGATTGCCTTGTTCAGA